GGTATTGCTTTATCAAGATCCATTTTATTTTTCGCGTTTTTTCTAACTACTGTTTCTAATTGCACTTGAATAACGCTTAAGTCTGACCTAGTACCTGAACGACCTACGAATTATTCACTTTTTCGTGGCGTGATACCTATCTGGTCTGTTAAACTAAGTGTTCTTACAAAATTTTTCCTAACAGCTCTTTCGGCGTTAACTATTTGTTTCCCTGTTTGTTCTATGAACTCTTTCTTTATGGCGTCTTTTAAAATTTCCGCCTGTAATTCTTTGTTAGTTTTAAATTTTTATATCATTAGATCAGTCCCCGCTGTCTATTTACCATAAAAAAATTCTTAGATCTGTCCCTGCCGTCTATTTACCATAAAAAATCTCAGATCGGTCCCTGCCATCTATTATAAAAATCTCAAATCAGTCCCTGCTGTCTATTACAAAAAATCTTAGATCAGTCTACCGCTGTCTATTACAACATAATTACTATTTTCCATAACAAGCTTGTTTTATTTTATTTTTATTTATCCAAATATTACACCTTCACCAATAATATTAAAAAAAAAAAATAACGCTGGTTTAAAAACCAACGTGAGACGTACACTCAAAGCTACAATTCTATTTGCAATATATTTATCATCAACTTAATTAATTAACTCACATTACTGTTGCACCTGCTGCTGAATTCATCCTGTCTTTGTCTGCTTGCCTGTCTTTTGAAATTCTGTTCTTTGCCTCCGGAGTTGTCAAATGTGATCGGTCCTTGACTGTGACTCGGTTGAGCTGCCTCCGTGGAGTTGTGACGTTGAATCAAGCTGCTGCGCTGGAACTGGACTTCCGAAGTTGAATTCTGCCGCTTTGACTGCTTGGCTCGCCTTTGGAAGTTGAATTTCACCGCCTTGACTGCTCAATTCACCTTTAACTCATTTGAAGTTCCTTTTTCGATTGCGCCAGAGTAATATACTGGTAGTTGAGGTGACTACTTGTATATTAACGTTGTAGGTAACTAGACCGTTTCGTGATGAAAATGAGGTAGTAGTTGAATAATTTTAACACAGTTGTAAAATATAGGTACTGTTGTTTATTTAAATGTTCCAGTAAATCATAAACGGTGCTAAGTCCAAATAAAAATCACTACACAGAGTCTCGTGAAGATGCTTGCAGTAGAGATGAGTGGACACGTCTAAATACAGGCCATTTCGGGGTCCCTTTTATAGTCCGGTCCCCGCTCGCCTTGCCTAGTGATATCATATCTCGGTTCTCTCGGATGTGGTTTATGTGGCCATCGACTTAGCCCACGCACTTGCGACATCCCTAATCTATTCTACGTATTATTATAATGTACTGAGAGTTAATTTATTAGCTACCAGTTTTATTATAATAATTTATCTATTTTTTATGCCGAATATCTGTCCATATATCACATCCGCCTATTCTACATGATTGCGAAGTCGCGCTAATCTACTGTGGTATTATTTTGAATATCGTTTCTCCTAGAGTCATACATTTATTAATCATAAATTTGTTTATGAGTTTGTTTTGGGCGTTATACTCTCCATTATTTCTTTGAATTAAGTACATTCGAAAAGGTTAACTAGTTTTTGTTTGATATATCTGACCATTACCTATCTACAGTATATTATGTTAAATATGTTACCTGTCGGGACTTTAAATGTTGCGTAGTAACTCGCTTACTACATAATCGACTCAAGAAAGTAGATATAGTTTTGAATATTGTCAGTATTTTTTAATACCAGGTGATTGTATGGTTTAATGATGTAGAGATTTGTATAAATCCTTGAGACTTTACGAGATTCAGCAGTATTTTTTTATTTCTCATTCTGTGGATAAGCGATAATTTTGTTCGAGAAGATCGACGGTGTGTAGAACCTTCCAGCATTCATTTACGTTACTCGTAAATTCGTCCATCGTTTTATCTCGCATGGGTGATAAGTAGTGTTTGAAAATTTCATGAAATTTAAAAAAATGAAATATTTCGTGAAATATTTCAAAATGTGTGAAATATTTCAGTGTTTTAATAAATTTTGTTTTATTTTTAAATAAGTTTTATATTTATATTTAACTGTCATAAATTACTTTCATAACTGTATGGTACATGTATGTATACCTAACCTTTTGTATTATACATTTAAAATGGTATTCAACATTTTTAAATATTTTAATGTTTAAATGATACAAGTAGGTATACAATCTTATACATATATATTGTATACCTACTGAATTCTTACATTCGAATTTAGAACACTGAGCATTAGTACAGCATTATAAACTTATCAATTCTAAAACCAATACGTTCATCGCTACGCAATCAAAAATGAGCGATATATGATTGCATTGGCATTGCTTAACCCTGGTAGTGTATTATTAATCTATGCTAATAAACAACAAGCTTGGAAACTGTATTCACTAATCACAATTTGGTAGCTAATTATAGAATAGATTGATATATAATTAAAAATTAAAAATTATTGAACTGGTAAGACTTGAACCACTTTTTTTTACTTTACTAGGTGACAATGGTGTGACTTCTATATATTTAACAGTGTTTGTTCAGATCTCTCTGTGAAATGCAGCTGTGTTTAAAGTTTAAACGTCATTATCGTTGGTTGGTTATGTCATTCTCGTTGACGCTAATGAATACGAGTATACTGAACAATCGAGACTTTGTTAGGCCTTAATGTTATGTGTCACAATCACTAGTCTCCATGTTTATGTTATGGAGTTGTTCTGTCTGAGTACTCGATAGCTTTGTGAAAGACTACCTATTTTAGTATGTCCGTTTACAGTAACAATATAATATTTTATAAAAAGTGGACTTTTATAAAAAAAAATATTTAGCAAATTTTGGTTTCAATCACATGAGTTTTTTTAATACAAATTTGAAATTTCACAGAAATAAAATTATGAAATTACTAATTCCAGTTAAACTACATAAGAATTACGTACCTACAAACACTAGAAAAAAAAATAGTTTAATGTTATTGTTGAAGTACACAGATATACAGAAGTTAAAGGTAAATAATAATAAAATCGGATATATATTTAATATAATAATAAGTATAATGATACAATGTACAATAGTGTTACGAGGCGTAATATAAATCAACGACTAACTATGTAATATGTATACCGGGGTACACTACACAAGATATTTATGCTGTAGTATCATAAAAATGTTTAGTCAGCGTCTGCTGAACTACAGTGTGAATATATTACTTATACACTACATTATATAGGGTATTTTGTTTATAATTCCAACATGACCAGCCATATTTATTTTACACACTGAAAAATAATTATGATTTAAACACTGAATACGAGGCTAGCACACCGGCGGAGTAGACACTTGGAACGATGTAGATTTTATGTTGTGTAATTGTGTTCTTAAACGAGCATATTAAATATTAATTGGTGGGGGGACATCGAAAAGTCCCTACTGGTTAATCGGGAGGTAATTCATGCAGCTTCAGGTCTGTTAACTCTGATGACGCTTATAAAGGAATGTGTGTGTGCATATATATTTATATTTATGTATGTATGTTATGCGAGTAGCTAGATATTTGTTAAGACTGTTGACGTTTACAAATGGAAATAATTTTAGTAATACATTTCGAAAACATTTAAAGATTATGTTAACGCCAATGTGATAACTGATACCGTAGATATGATAGTGGCGGTGGTGGGGGGAAGTTATACCTCGCGTACTTGAGCGATTGTCGCACACAAGAGTTAAATGAGATAGAATATACCTATTCAATTATAGGTGATTAAATGGCTCAGTGGTGCGGTGGTCGCTTAGCATGCGTAAGGCTTGAGTCAAATCCCGGTCCTTCAGATAAATTTTTAAATTATTTTAAAGTGTAAGTCGGTGGCAGCGGCCTTAGGTAGTAAAGAGTGTGTGGCCGGGGGTATATCATATACATGTGTGATAGATAGCGGGATCAGCAGCCGTCTATGTACAAGGATCAGAGAATGGTATATTGAAGAGCGGGGTGGTGGAGGTATATCGTATACGTATGTGATATATGGACTCAACCCATGGGTCAGCAAGGGGGTATAGGGATCAGAAAATGTAGCTAAAGACTAGTCATGGGATCAGTTAAACGGTGTACAAGGATCAGCAAGAAGGTATATTGATCAGCAATCATAGGATCAGATGGATCAAAATCAAGAACTCACTTTTTATTCCTACTTACAATATTGTGCATATATATTAGGGATGGTAACTCTGATGACAGCCAGGCTGGACTAAGCGAGGGTGGTAATTCGTCGATTAACAACAGTGATGTTGTGACGACCGACGAGTGATGATAATATGGTGTCTGTTCTTATCTATTTGATTGTAAATTGTGTCTTTATTCAGTTGTACCGAAATAATATATTGTGTCGTTTGTTAAAACTATTCGCTTACATGATTCTATACTAATAATCCTACATTTTGGTTGCCTGTCCGGGATATTGGTCGAATAACTTTAATTCTGAGTGGTGTGGCCTATACGGAGAGACCTGTGCCGACCGTACTGTTTACGAGTTGTGGTTCGTTCGTGTTAATTGTGCCTTTTGAGGAAGTCGCCGCTTACCCGTGTCATTGACCTTCACTATTGTCATTGTGCAATGTGCGTTTGACCCATCACGTAGGACGTAAGCTGTATAATTTGGCTCATTTGGGGTTATTGTGCATCGTCTTTTGCATAACCTCAAATTGCTCGTTATCATCAACGAACCTTAACACACATAACCTACCATTTTATTTGCGCCAGTTGGTGTGATTGCGTGAATTGTTGTTAACTGTTTTCATTGATTAAGAGTGAACTGTGATTAAGGCCAATTGTTGTGTTTGTGAGATCTCGTATAATGGCTCCTCGCAAGTGGAAGTCAACGACCGGGAAGCAATCACCAAGCGTCAGCAGTGTCCACGTAGAGGCTGAAGCTAATGTAATTAGTTAATGCAATCAAGTTTGGGGATGTTCAAGACGTATTACCACCATTTAAGGGCGACGGTCTTGTTCAGTCTTGAAGCGGCTCAACGATTTTGAAGAAATGGCGTTATTGTGCGCTTGGTCAGAAATACATAAATTTGTATACTGCAAACGCTTACTTTTTGGAACGGCACAGGCTTTTGATAGATTGGAAGATGGTTTGAAATCTTTGGCAGTGTAACGTGCTCGATTACTTAATGAGTTCCGTAGTCGGCTAACAACAATAGATGTCCACCAGTTGGTCTCCACATATGTCAAGCAGTCGAACAAGTGGCTATTGCAGAACCTGTTGCGCATGCATGAATCGGTAATGCAAAAAAGGTGTCCCCAACGACTCGCTCATTGATTATGTCATTTGTGGTATTCCGGACGTTGTTATCAACAAGAGTGTGTTGTGCGGTGCAACGTCCATTCCAGAGTTCAATATCAAATTAAGATCCAGCAAAAATCATTTTCTTGTCCAGCCAAGCCCGAAAACCATCTTGCAGTTGTAACTGGCAGCTCTAGTGGACCTGCCAATGTCTACCAGGTTAACACTTATAATATTGATAGCAGAATCGTAAAACCTGTGTCAGTACTGGACCATTGGGCGTTAGCCCTTGTTGACACTGGTTGCTATGTACATTTGTGCCATGAGTCGTTCTTAGTAAAGTTGTGGTTCATTCACAGTCTCCCAAGCAGCATGCAGTTGAATGAACCAGTTAACACATGTTTCTATACTGATTGTCCTTTTAATTGTAAGCTAATCGTGGACGAGGAAATCTACCATGTTGACATTTACTCCGTACCCGATAGCGCCATAGGATACGATAATATCCTAGGTCTGCCATTATTTCAGACTAACTCCGTACTAAGGTTTAGCCCTCAGTCTGTGACCATTACTCATGTCAATACCTCTCAGCAGTTGATGAATATAAATACCAATGTTGGTGAATTTTACGTAGGTCTGAGAGCTCGCCCAGCCGTGGTGCAGGAGTTGGTGGATACATACCGTCCTGTTCAAGGTGTTATGGCACCAATGACAATGGTCATTGTCTTGTTTGCATTCCAGCACTGAAGTTTAGCACCGTGAGACAAAGTGGCAGTGAGCAAGCAAATTCAGGAATGGTTGTCCGAAGGTATCATTCGACCCAGTTGCTCTGAGTTGTCGAAGAAAAAAGACGACACCCGCCGACTTTGCTTTGGCTCCCATGAGCTAAACAAAAATATTGTGCTTAATCGTTACCCGTTGCCGTTAATCGATGACCAGATGACTGGCTACGAGGTGCAGTAGTATTCTCTACGTTAAATTTTCTGAACGGATTTTTCCATGTCCCGGCATATGAAGTTAGTACAAAACATACGGCATTTGTTGTACCAGACGATCATTATGAGTTCCTCCGTAAACCGTTTATGCTATGTATATCCAGTGTTCGGAAAGAACGTCGTTCATGAACGAACGTTCACGCGTTCACGTTCATATATGTATAGTGAACGATACGTGAACGTCACTCGTTTTTTGCAAATAGAACGTGAACGTCAATTTAAATATATTTTTTTTTTTATTGATAAAAATAACATCGACAACAAAGGCCATTAGTTATTCAATTTATTTACCATTTAATAAATATTATATGTATAAAATATATTAATTAATTATATTATAATAATAATATTTTCATTTTTCCCATTATAATTAATATAATATTTGTTTAATTGCAAAATATATAAATTAAATAAGTGAAATTCCAGTGTCAACGGCTAGACATACAACAACAATAATATTATGATTTCCACGAATTTGTAATATTCCTAATCGGTTTATCATAATAAGTACCCTAGTACTCGCTTAATTTGATCACTAGGAATTCCTTATCGAAATGTAACTCAAATAACTTGTCAGATATTAAAAATTAATTCTGATACTTTATAAACTGTATATTCTCTAAAGTCTAATTTTTTTTTTTTTTTTTTGGTTGAGTCATATATGATTATGGGTTTTTAATTTTTATATTGACTGCAAGCTAACGGTTCATAAAAAACAATTTTAATGAACGACAAAATGAAAGCGTTCGTTTTGGAAAATAACGTGAACGATTTCATTTTTTTACTGAATGTTTCAAACACTGTGTATATCACCACCTGTGTTTCAGAGATATTTGAATTAAATTGTACGTGACCTCAGTTTGGCCACCAGTTGACTGACATGGATGACCTGATTGTTGTAGCAGTGAATGTTGAAGAAGGGCTTTTGCGCTTAACCAAGTATTTTATATCGATTGTACTTATGTTTAAAACAATAAAATGCAAATAGCCTCTACGGCGTGCATAATTTGCATACTAATTATTTACTCAGGTGATGTAACTATCAGATTTTTTTTAGTTGTTCCTTTTCTTTGTGGGTTTACAATATTGAACATTTAATACAATTTTTTTCACAAGTGACAAGTTTCATGTTACTTAGTCAAATTGAATTACCTTATAATCTTTACTGTACAGTAAGTCACAAGTGGGTCACTGTATAATGGATTTTATTAAATTTGAATTCAATGATATCATATCATTGTATATGAAAAACGATTCTGAACGCAGATGGTTTGTCAGGAAATGTTATATTATTATTATATTTTATTATAGCTTGTAAGTTGAATTAACATTATAAATTACAATAAAATAACTAAAAATTATTATTTTGTATTCGTTTCTATGGTGATGAACATAGCGTTAGAAATTACAATTCCATTTTTAGCGGTTTTTTGAAATTTGTCGATGGCTTTTCCCGTGGCATTAAATAACTATTGAGAAAATCGAAAAAATGACCTTTTTAAATTAACATCTTGATTCAATTTTCTAAAATATGAAGTACTATATGTTGAAATCCAAGTACTTCTTCTAGTAGAAATGTCGTTTATAGGATATAAAAAAAAAAAATTAACACCATTGTAAAACCACTAGCTTTTCGCTCCTATCAAAATCTAAAAGTGGTGATAACTATTAATATGGAACTATAATGTGTAGCGGTCGTTACCCAATCTACGAGTACCGCACGCGACGCTCTCTCTTCTCGACGGCCCCTAGTATGGTTTCAGCCGGAGTCTAGGCATACGGTGCGGCGGGCTCCTCTGTCTTCGAGTTTGAGTCCTTGAGAACCGAATTCGTCTCCATTTTCATACCTTATTTACACTGAGAAATCGTATAAAATAATTCATTTACTTAACACTATGTCATTCGTATCGTTTTTTGTTTGGTATAACATATAACCTCCAGGTTCGCAACACTGTCACTGACGACTCCACAGCATCGCGTCAAATTATTAGATTTTTTTTAATTTTTAACATTGCTATTTACCATAGAAAATATTTTATGTTTTTATAAATAAATATTTTTAATGTAATGTTGTATTTTAGATTCTGAGCGGATCAGGGGATTTTACCATGGTGTTTATTTTCTTATTTTTACCCGGAATACAAAATATCTACCAGAAGGAGTATTTCGGCTTCAACATATAGTAAATAATCTTTTACAAAATTAAATTAAAATGTTACTTTAGAGAGTTCATTTTTCGATTTTCTCAATTGTAATTCAATGCCATTTAAAAAGCTTTAGAAATTAAAATAAAATTGTTAGCGGTTTTTGTAATTTATGGGTGGCTTTTCCCGTGACATTAAATAACTATTGAGAAAATTGAAAAATAACCTCTCTAAAGTACCATCTTGATCAAATTTTCTATAAGATAAGGGACTATATTTTGAAATTCAAGCACTTCTTCTGGTAGAAATTTTGTATACAGGATATAAAAAAAAATAAACACCACCGTAAAACAATTAGATCCCTTACTATTCTCAGAATCTAAAAAATAAACACCGTTGTAAAACCACTAGATCCCCTAGATTCACTAGATGCACTAGATTTAAAAAATAACTATTTAAAGAAAAATAATACCAATCATAAATTATATAAAATACTGTAAACATTATTTAATATCTTATTAGTTATTAATAGTTTGTAGCGTACATCCACGTACAGTTAAATATGACAAGATAGGATGTTGGGTGGTTGATACTCAAACGCAAACTTTTTGAAATTTCGATTGTATTTATTTATTTCTTTATTGTATAAGTTTATTAATACTTGCACAAAGCTGTTGCAAAAATTTACAAGATAAAGTGAATTAGACTATCCAGACCGACGAGGTTTGCAGGTCCATTTCAATGGCCATCCACTTTCAAAATTTGAAGTTCTCAACACACCAAACGTTTGGGCATTGAAATATGCACCAAGCCCGACGTTTGTACACAAAAACATTCAGTTTAAAAAAAAAAAAACGAAAACGGGGGCCATTTAAACAGAACAGTCACTTTTTTTGAAATCTTAAATATTTTTTATCAACTGTCTTATGAAAAAAAAATTTATAAAACAGACTTCGTGGTATTTAAATTTTGTGAAATATACTTTTGAAAAGTATTCAGAATACTTAAAAAGAACTCCCAAAAGTTTTTAAATACAATTATCTAAAGTGTATTATATATTTTTTAGTAAATATTTTTTTTATCGAGACAAAAAAAAAATTGTATGCATTTAGTTTTTGCCCCACAAACAGACTAGGGAGATACCTTACACCTGAACCTCCGCACAAGAACCATAATGGAGTCAGGGTGTTTTTCTGATCTCATATTTCTTCTTTCTAGTGTCAGTCAACTGTTTAAAATTCCTTTTTTGAGCCAATATTGGATCTGTTTTATTACTTCGTAAGTTGGTTCTTTAAAAAGGTCGTCTCTTTCACAATTCGTGTTATTCATGCGGCACTGCATTAGGTGCTGATCATCTTGAACGTCTCCACATTCGCATACTGCAGTCTCTCCTATCTTAAACTACATGAGGTTCTTTTTTGTTCTCTTTACTTATACTCTTAGACAATTTAAGGTTTTCCAGAGTCCATACTTCAGGTCCTTTCCAGGTGGGGGGCTCTCTGAGGCTCTAGTTCATATTTTTTCGTCCGTTTTACATCTATCATTCCATCTTAGTATACGTTCGTTGGCGATTTCAGGGTCAATGTAGTGATGGGTATAAAATTGTGAATTGACTTTAATCTGCTATTTTGTGGCATATAGCCATATAACGGATGTATTCCATCGGAATTACATTTCTTTCTTCCTAGTATATAGGTGATTGCCTTTGCCACATAGTGATTTTGCATAAAATACGGAATAAAAGGTAGAAGGTTATTGCCACCAGCTAAATAGTTAAGAGCCCTCTGCCGGCCAGCACATTTGTGTCCCCATATTTATTATTTATTATTTATGATTTTGAAGAATAGT